CACCCCGAAGCTCGGCGAGAAAATCGCAGCCCCCTCGGGGCTGGTCACCCCACGGCCGGCGGGGCCCGAGGGCAGCAGTGAGGTGCTTACCGCTGTCTGCAGAGGACGCCTTTGACGGGTTACTCAGGCTGGCTCCGGAGAGCGTGGGCGCCCTGAGAGCGGTAGGGGTCGATCCACGCCGCCCCCCCGCCCCCCGGGACCCGCACCCCCCACAGGCATCGTGCCCTGGGGGACACAGAGGGAGAAAGTGGGCCCTTCCCCGGACCTGCTCTTGGCCGGGCGCTGGTGGGAAGGGGGCGGGGCCTCTGTGTCACCCCAGCAGAAGGCCCGACCCACAGCGGTCCTGTTCCCCTCGGCAGGCCATTATCGACTTCGTGAACCGGAAGCTGGACCGCCTGGGCCTGTCCGTGCAGGATCTAGAGACCCAGGTGGGGCTCGGCGGCGGGGCCCCAGCGGGGTGGGAGCGGGGGGCTCGCGGGGCCCTGGCCGGGGGACCCCCCTTTTACAACAGCCGGCGGACGCGGCCCGCGCAGGCGGGGGGCCGTGTCACCCGCACTCAGCGACAGGCCTGCGGTTTTAAATCTACTCCGTGGGGCCGTGAGCAGGATGGTTTTGGGGCTCGGGCCCCTCTCATCTTTATCTCCCTGTGAACAGAGGCGGAGCGTGGGGGCGTTAGAGGCTGTGGGGCCAGAGGGGGTGTCGCCGTCCCGGCACTGCGGTGCCACTGCGGGGCGATGCCCGGAGCCCCCCGCGCCAGCCGCGGCCGTCCCGGGGACGGGAGGGGACCCGTGGGGCTCCGCGGGGGTCCTCCGCCCGTACCCAGTCTTGCGTTGGGGTCTCTGAGGAGACCGCTAGGGTCCATCAGCGTCCGGCGCTGCCGGCGGACCAGGTGCTCCGCTCGGACCCAGGGCCGCTGGCTTCCCGGGCGGCTCGGGCTCCCCACGCAGACACGGCGCGTGGCCTCCCCGCCTGCTCCCGCGGTCGCAGCCTCACGGGGTGCTCCCCAGACCCCAGAAAGGCACCGGGCTCAGAGGGCGCGGCTCGCGCCCGCCGCGGCCCCAGCCCCTCCCGCAGTTTGCAGACGGCGTGATCCTGCTCCTGCTCATCGGGCAGCTGGAGGGCTTCTTCCTGCACCTGAAGGAGTTCCACCTGGTGCCCAGCTCCGCCGCCGAGAGGGTGAGCGCCCAGCGCGGGGCCGCCTTCTCGCTGAGATGCGGCGAGGCCTGCGGCCACGGTCTGTCCGCCCAGCTGCCCCTGGCA